GGTGGATGACAACCGCAGCAGTAAACCCCAAGAGCAAAAGTTAGAGTGGTGAATGGAGGTGGATGACAACCGCAGCAGTAAACCTCAAGAGCAGTTAGAGTGGTGACTGGAGGTGGATGACAACCGCAGCAGTAAACCTCAAGAGCTCAGTTAGAGTGGTTAGAGGTGGTGACCGCAGCAGTAAACCCCAAGAGCCCAAAGAGAGTGGTGAAATGGAGGTGGATGACAACCGCAGCAGTAAACCTCAAGAGCTCAGTTAGAGTGGTGAATGGAGGTGGATGGATGCAGCAGTAAACCCGCAGCAGTTTAGAGTGGTGTGGAAACAACCCAGCAGTAAACCTCAAGAGCTCAGTTAGAGTGGTGAATGGAGGTGGATGACAACCGCAGCAGTAAACCCCAAGAGCTCAGTTAGAGTGGTGAATGGAGGTGGATGACAACCGCAGCAGTAAACCCCAAGAGCTCAGTTAGAGTGGTGAATGGAGGTGGATGACAACCGCAGCAGTAAACCTCAAGAGCTCATTAGAGTGGTGAATGGAGGTGGATGACAACCGCAGCAGTAAACCCCAAGAGCTCAGTTAGAGTGGTGAATGGAGGTGGATGACAACCGCAGCAGTAAACCTCAAGAGCTCAGTTAGAGTGGTGACTGGAGGTGGATGACAACCGCAGCAGTAAACCCAAGAGCTCAGTTAGAGTGGTGAATGGAGGTGGATCAGCAGTTCAGAGTGGTGAGTGGTGAGGAGGTGGATGACAACCGCAGCAGTAAACCTCAAGAGCTCAGTTAGAGTGGTGATGGAGGTGGATGACAACCGCAGCAGTAAACCCCAAGAGCTCAGTTAGAGTGGTGAATGGAGGTGGGATGACAACCGCAGCAGTGAAACCTCACCGCAGCAGTCAGAGTTCAGTGGTTAGAGTGGTGAATGGAGGTGGGTGACAACCGCAGCAGTAAACCCCAAGAGCTCAGTTAGAGTGGTGAATGGAGGTGGATGACAACCGCAGCAGTAAACCTCAAGAGCTCAGTTAGAGTGGTGACTGGAGGTGGATGACAACCGCAGCAGTAAACCTCAAGAGCTCAGTTAGAGTGGTGAATGGAGGTGGATGACAACCGCAGCAGTAAACCCCAAGAGCTCAGTTAGAGTGGTGAATGGAGGTGGATGACAACCGCAGCAGTAAACCTCAAGAGCTCAGTTAGAGTGGTGACTGGAGGTGGATGACAACCGCAGCAGTAAACCCCAAGAGCTCAGTTAGAGTGGTGAATGGAGGTGGATGACAACCGCAGCAGTAAACCTCAAGAGCAAAAGTTAGAGTGGTGACTGGAGGTGGATGACAACCGCAGCAGTAAACCTCAAGAGCTCAGTTAGAGTGGTGACTGGAGGTGGATGACAACCGCAGCAGTAAACCCCAAGAGCAAAAGTTAGAGTGGTGAATGGAGGTGGATGACAACCGCAGCAGTAAACCCCAAGAGCTCAGTTAGAGTGGTGAATGGAGGTGGATGACAACCGCAGCAGTAAACCCCAAGAGCTCAGTTAGAGTGGTGAATGGAGGCGGGTGACAACCGCAGCAGTAAACCCCAAGAGCTCAGTTAGAGTGGTGAATGGAGGTGACAACCGCAGATGACAACCGCAGCAGTAAACCAGCAGTAAACCTCAAGAGCTCAAGAGCTCAGTGGTGAATGGAGTGGTGCAGCAGTAAACCCCAAGAGCTCAGAGAGTGGTGAATGGATGACAAACCGCAGCAGTAAACCAACCAAGAGCTCAGTTAGAGTGGTGAATGGAGGTGGATGACAACCGCAGCAGTAAACCCCAAGAGCTCAGTTAGAGTGGTGAATGGAGGTGGATGACAACCGCAGCAGTAAACCTCAAGAGCTCATTAGAGTGGTGAATGGAGGTGGATGACAACCGCAGCAGTAAACCTCAAGAGCTCAGTTAGAGTGGTGAGCAGTGGAGGTGGGATGGAGGTGGATGAACCGCAGCAGTAAACCCCAAGAGCTCAGTTAGAGTGGTGACTGGATGGGTGGATGACAACCGCAGCAGTAAACCTCAAGAGCTCAGTTAGAGTGGTGAATGGAGGTGGATGACAACCGCAGCAGTAAACCCCAAGAGCAAAAGTTAGAGTGGTGAATGGAGGTGGATGACAACCGCAGCAGTAAACCTCAAGAGCTCAGTTAGAGTGGTGACTGGAGGTGGATGACAACCGCAGCAGTAAACCCCAAGAGCAAAAGTTAGAGTGGTGAATGGAGGTGGATGACAACCGCAGCAGTAAACCTCAAGAGAAAGTTAAAGTTAGAGTGGTGACAACAGTGGAGGTGGATGACAACCGCAGCAGTAAACCTCAAGAGCTCAGTTAGAGTGGTGACTGGAGGTGGATGACAACCGCAGCAGTAAACCCCAAGAGCTCAGTTAGAGTGGTGAATGGAGGTGGATGACAACCGCAGCAGTAAACCCCAAGAGCAGTTAGAGTTAGAGTGGTGAATGCTCAGTTAGAGTGGATGACAACAACCGCAGCAGTAAACCCCAAGAGCTCAGTTAGAGTGGTGACTGGAGGCAGGTGACAACCGCAGCAGTAAACCCCAAGAGCTCAGTTAGAGTGGTGAATGGAGGTGGATGACAACCGCAGCAGTAAACCCCAAGAGCTCAGTTAGAGTGGTGACTGGAGGTGGGTGACAACCGCAGCAGTAAACCTCAAGAGTTCAGTTAGAGTGGTGAATGGAGGTGGATGACAAC